AAAACTGGTGGTGGACAGATGAGTTTCATTTCTCTAAGACTGCGATCTGACTCTCCTCGGATTGAACAGTTAGCCAGAGGCAACTGTACACAGAGTCTCTCTGACTCATGCCTGGCTTCCCTGTGGTGACCGGCAGGCACAGTGCAAGCTGCTGGCATAGAACTCTGTAAGCACATGTGGCCTGACCTGGCTAACTCCTCAAGGTCCCTTAGTGGCAGGGATCAAACTCATGTGTCAGAAGACTTGATCCTACGGGGTGGTCATGTTATCCGTGTTAAGTTTTCTCAATGGTATCTTTGATGTATACATGTATACAGATATTAAAGTGTGTGTGTGGGGGGGTCTGGTGTTTGTTGAGATGGTATTGCCTATTGCTGAATGTGTCTCCAGTAGACATGAGCTCAAGTGCAAGATGGCTTTTTCCAAGTGGGGCTATCCTCTCGGGCTATATTCTCCATGAGACAGAGGACCATCTGTGGCTCGGCGCTCTCCTGTGTGACTTGGGCAGGCTGTTCTCGCTTTCTCTGGTTACCGGATTCTCTAGCTTATCATCTGAGGGTTGTTGCAGGGGAAATGAGATGGTGGCCGTATAGGAGGCAAGCCCAGGGCCTGGAGTGTGGAAAGATTTCACCAGACATCAGCTGCTGTTGCTTGTAAGCATCCCCTTCCTTCCAAACCTAGTTCTCTGACATCGGAAAAGGCGGCATCAGGTCTGTTCATGCAACTACTGCAGATGCTCAGAATTCCAACATCACTTCTGGCTCCAAGCATTCTGAACAAGGAACACTCCCATAGCAGTGTTTAACTGTTCTAAGCCTTGATTAAGTAGTAAAGTTAATAAAGTCGAGGAATGGAAGTTGTATATTCGCGGGGAAAGAGAATCCTTAGTGGACATCTTAGTGGCCGCTAGTGATTCCTTCTGGAGAATCCTGTAGGATGCCGAAGGTGACCTCAGAGGCCATGCAGGGTCCTCATGGCCAAGTGCATCTCGCTTCATGTCATGGTGCAGCTAGCAGAGTGCCCAACCCTGATAAATGAGAGCTGCTCGTTGTAGTTTTCCAAGTTTTTTTTCCTTTGAATGCAGTTGTAGACTTAAGAAATGTGAGTTGGTGAGTTGCAAGGTTGTGGGGGTTTCTGGCAATACATTTTAGTTCTCTCAAGGTCAGTGTTTAGAACGTATATGAATTAGATATGACCACAGTCATGCTGTGTAACAAATGACCTCGAACTCACTGCATGAAAATAGCATTATGTATTTCCTCTGTGCTTTCATGGTGGTTAGAGGTCAGTTGGTCTAGACTAGGCTTAGTCTAAGCTGCAGGTTGGTTCCATGTCTCTCCACATGGGTCTCCACTTCCTTGCACCAGCAGGCCACCTGAGTCATATTCTTCTTGAGATGACACAACCACAGAGGGTTGTGTTCAAGCATATCTTTCACTTCTGTGGATGACATGTCCTAATAAACTTCACGCGGACCAAGTGAAGTGGCCCTGGCCAAGCTGAGGCTGTAGGGCAGCATGCCATAATGAACCTCAAAGTCCCACAGCCACAGAGTGTGACTCTAGGGGGCCGTGAGGAACGAGGGTCACTAATTCGCTCTCCTCCATTCTCCGCTTGCCTCCTCCAGTTTGTCATTGCAGTCGGTGCCTTAAGGGCCTTCCTTAGCACAGGAGGTTCTGTGGTCCTGCATCCTCATTAGGATTCCAGGAGCACTCCACTGGATCGGGCAAGCACGTTGCAAATTCCCCTTTGGTCTCCTAAAGCCTTCTCTCTGACAGACAGGAATTTACTCTACTGTAAACCTAAGAGTCCCAATTTAGACAGACACGATGGATTAGGCAGACGGCATCATTGACCCAGTTCCACTTCGTTAGCCTTTCCAATTAAAGAGGTTGTTACTGTGAGTGAGACCTCACAGATATGCAGCCTTACCTGGAGTCCTCGGGCCCCTGCTGGTTAGGGAGAGTCTCACATTTTCAGTGTGCACCCAGGGAGGAAAAGGAAGTGTGGTTGGCATGAGAACAGCCCAGTGTTAACGACACAGGCCCCTAGTGAGTGCTTCATCCACTTCCTGGCCAGTTAATTAAGATCCTAAATAAGGACCCTTTGTGCTCCCTCTCCCAGAAGCTTTTGAAATGAACCTTGGACTCCTGACCATGTGTGACAGGGTCTGTGATTTGGGTACCCCAGATAAAGAGTAGAGGCTGCGCTGTGTCAAGAGACCAGTCACTTGATATCATCCACATAGTTGGCAGAGATTTTCCTTGGCTTTCCAAGGAAGGTCTTTCTCAGTGAAGTTGTTTTTAAGGGGTTCGGGATGGCATTCCCCCTTTCGTCGCTGTCTTGGGATTCTGAGCAACGAAGCATAAGCCCCACACAATAGCCAAATGGGCCGTGAAGCACGACTTAATTAATCTGGGCATTCACCCAATGCCCCGTGCAGCACTGGCTAGGATTTGGCTTTGGAGAAGGTGGCTAATTTTGAGAGTGAGCTACAGCTTTTTCTGTTCCGACTCAAATCTCAATGAATATGGGCAGAGGGACAGTTAGAATCGACAAGCACGCTCCGGCCGGTGGTGACATGAAGATGGGGCTATGTACTCTCACAGTGTGGGTCAAACAGGATCCCGCTCCTGGGGTCTGCTGTGCCCAGGGTCTGCTGCTCCCAGGGTCTGCTGCCAGCCGCAGATGGGGAGGCTGAATCTGTCTCTGCAAGAGTAAACTGGGTCCTGCCCTGTGTGGCTGCTCGACAGGGAGCCAGGCTCAGCTCTCCAGCATTGAACATCATTGATCATAGAAACAATAAGCGTGTGGCTAGAGGGGTCTCTGTAAGGTTAGGGAGAATAGTGAGGCTGTGTTTTTCACCCTAAGTATCTCAGTAAACGTTGAGTTCTGGTGGGTCATAGCTGAATCCTATCCTGGGAAAAGGTCAGGAGAGATAACGGTGGCAAGGCCTAAGCTGTTTCTCCAAGACCCCTCATCAGTTCCTCGTGTGTCAGCTTTGCAATATGGCAGAGTGAAGAGAAAGCTCATCTTAGTGTTTTGCTCGGTGCAAGGACTTGCTGTGCTCAGCTGGTATGAAAGCCAGAGTGAGCGAGGTGTCTCCTTGGCAACATCCCTGAACTGTGCCAGGGATGTGCTGGGACTTGGACTCGACACCTGGAATTGGGGGAAGATGAAGTCTTTACCTTCAAGGGAAGTCCAGAGGTCAAAATGTGCCTGAGAGCATGCCTCAAATGTGTCATGAGGAAGATAATTGCCAAAGAGATCGAGAAAGGAGATGGGTGATCTGGTAGTGTGTTCCTGAAGTCCCAAGAAGAGAAGAATGGCCATGGGTTTGAGTTTAGCCTGAGCAGCATAGCAAGTATCATGCCAGCTTGGGCTACATAGACATTGTCTCAGAAAAAAAATAATTTAAAACATGTTTAAAGGAAGCAAATGGTATCAGGCTTGATGATGCAAGCCTGTGAGCCCAGCAATTTAGGAAACGGAGGCAAGAGAAATGTAAGTTCAAGGCCAGCTTGGGATACAGTGAGTTCCAGCAGGCCAGCCCAGGCAGTTTACAGAGACCTGGCCTCAAAATACAGATCAAAGGGGGGGGGGGTGCTTGTTTAGCATACATGAGGCCCTAGGTTTTATTTTGTTTCTCTCTGTCTCTGTTTCTCTCTCAATCAAATGGTCGGTTCCTCTCCAGCAGGAGTTGAGACTGTTACAGTTTGTCTTCCCTCGCCTTTTATTCATGGTATTTAGATAAGGGGACCCTGGTGCTTATTTGCATGGCTTCCTAGAAGCCTATATTGGAAAATCTGTTTGGATAGAGCCAAGTTTTAAGCTGGGTTTCTGCCCAGGGCCTTAAAAGCATGGCTATTCTCTGTAGAAGTGGCCAAAGGTGGTTTTCCCAGAATCATGAACACATATGATGGTTAAGTTCCCAGCAGACATGGTATAGACAGAAATAGCCTTTTTATGTGCTGGGTTTCCTGTTTTCCTCGGAAACCACTTGGGGAAGGAATGCCATCACCTCCCATTAGTCGGTGCCTCCTCCATCTGTCCCTCCCCCGACCCAGAATTTATGCTTTGTGACCCCAGACTTTACCACCCAGCATCCCCAGTCAATTGGCTTTTGTCAAGACTGAGTGAATGGGATGTTTCTCTGGCCTGAAAAGATCTTTCCTGGCATGCTGGAATGTGCTACTCACACAGGAATCGGCTCCTCCTTTTCTGTCTCTTTCTCATGTCTTTTATTCTTATAGGATTAGACATAATCTCACAATCTTGTTATGAACCAGAACTTTGTATTTATGTTTAATTCTATTATGGACCCAAGTCTCTTTCATGTGGGGGAGGGGTAGGGCACTGAACACACTGGAGATGAATGGAAAAGGTGCTTTTCCTTTTTCTTGTCTGTATACGTGGGTACATGGTGTTCTTATAAATACCTTATGGGTGTATGGTGCATGCATGTGTGCTGGTACAAATGTCTGGGTGTCAGAGGACAGTCTCAGCTATCATTCTTCAGGAACTATCTTCCCTTTTCTGTGATAGGGTCTCTCATTGGCATGGAGCACACCAAGTAGGTTAGGCTAGCTGGCAGTGCCCTCAGGATCTGCCTGCCACAATGCCCAGCTCTGAGATTATAGGCGCATATCCCTGCCCTAGCCTTTTAGGCCAGTGCTCTAACCCGCGTCCTCATGCTTGTGGAGTGAGCGCTTTCCTGACTGAGCCTGCACTCACCCCCTTCTTCTCAGCATTTCATTGTTTAGCAGATCTTCTTATGGACAATCTAGGGCCTCTTTCATGGCTTAGAAATGGAAAGGAAAGCTGGGATTCAGTAGGGGGCAGACTGGGTCAACTTCTGAAGTCCTCAGAGCATGGGGAAGACAGAGTCTGACCTGCCCCACCTGACTGGGAGAGCAAGCTGGGTTGAAAGCGATGTTCAGGTTGGAAGCTGACTCCCCTCCTCTCACCATTTATGAGCGTCTTCTCTGTTCTCCCCACAGGATCCACACCCGAGTCCACTGATCACCCTAGAGACCCAGGTGAGTGCCTCTCGTGGTCTTTGCCTCTTATCTTTCTCTTGAGGTTCTGTGATCAGTGCTCTGTGGTCGTCTCTGTGTGTCCTCCGAGCCCCAAGGGACTCGGAAGGGACAGACGGACATGTCATGTCCCAATGCCCTCCTGCCTCATTTGTATGTGTGGTGTGCACAGCCAGGTGTAACCACGCTGGTAGATTGTGCATACATGTGTGGAATTCTGTATACATACACATATATGCAGGCAGGTCACTGAAGGCATCCCCCTGCCTTAGTGATCTGAAGCAGGTGACTGCAGAGGGAGATCAGAGACAAGAATGTCCGGTCACAGATGGTGCTGTTTCTCTTCTCCGGATTGGACAGACTCTGCTCCTGGACACTTGGTGCACAATGCTACTGGAAATGTGGGGAGTCCTGCTAGAGTCATCCAGCGCTGCCGGGGAAACTGGGGCTCCTCTTGACAGTCTTAGCGTTGTCAACAAAAGGAACTGAAGAATGGGCTCAACAGTCTTATTAGAGTTTAAAAGAAAGCTCTCAGGTAGACAAGCTGTGGCGCTCGGCAGCTGCCCTGAGGAGAGAAACAGAGAAAAGAAAGGGCCATGCCTTTTGAGGGAAGCCAGCATAGAGGGCCGTCACGCGGTGGACAAGCAGCTACACAGCTGGAAGAGGGCTTTAGATGACAAGTGGGAAAAATTACCCAAAGTTCCAGAGAAAGAGTGCCTGGGCTCTGGGTGACATCTGAAAGGAGGAGACAGGAGAAGAAAGAGGGAAAGTGACATCGTTCTGGTCCTGACTGAGAGAGGTAGGCAGACCCAAAGGAACTGCTTGGTGGCTTGTAGGGACTGCACTAAGGGGCAGGGAATCTGGGAAGAAAAAGTGCATTATCTCATCAGAGGGCTATTTCTCCTCTCGCTTTAGCATGACTTAAGGTGACTCGCCTTTCTGAAGGGTGGTCTCTTGGCCAGGTAACTGGCCATGTCACCTGGATTCACTCTTAAGGGATCAGACAATGACACCTCTCCACTCAAAGATAGACTCCAGCCTTTTGTCTGGCAACAGCTTTCTCTTAATGGGTCTCCAAAGACCCAGCTCCCAGAGCAGGAAATTGCACTTTCTGTCTGCTTGGATACTGGAATACTCTGAATGATCTAGTTAGCAATAGTGTTTCTGTGTAGGGCCGATGACCTATGAGTCCAGAGATGAAGACATGGCCTGGACCTTGTGTCTTCTTTCTGGGTATCTGCCCCAGAGTCACTGAGACCCAGGTAGAATACACTTCTGTGTCTTCTAGCCTTGTGACATTTTTGAGAGTCTGAACTCCAAGTCATTCCTTCTCCATCTAGAACATGCCACCTGGCAGAGTCCTGGTGAGAGTCACGGGAAATAATCAGAACATCAAGGTACCTGGGTGTGCATAAGCTCTTATACCACAGCACTGCAGCCTTTCCTCCCGGCCTTGAAGGTGTCGTGTCTCTGAATTGATGGCCTCCTTAGCTCCATGCCTGGGTTAGACAGCAAAGAGAAAAGGAGGACAGACTGGGTAACCTTCTGAGCCCCAGAGGAAGCACTTTCCAGGTGTCAGACACAGTAAAACATATTGCACATTTCATGGACGAGAAACAGCCCTTTGGGGCTTTCTGTGGCATGCTGGCAGATACGACCTGCTTTCCCTTGCCTTCCCCCAGCCCTGGGTCCTGGCCACTCAGCAGCATCTCTGCTTGAGTCTTCCCAATGAGAGCGAGGAGACTCACAAACCCACCTGGCTTTAAGGTGGCCTGACTGTTAAGAAGTCCATCCATAGCAGTGAACTGTATCTTTGTGGTTTCTCTCTGCTTGTCTGTCTTTTTGTCCCAGGGTGCAGACCAGTATAGCTGTCCTAGGGAGGAGCAGACCCAGCGATGGCAGAATAGGACAGGCAGTGTGTCTCTGAGGAGAAGAATCCCATGTCCTCTCTTCTGCTTTTGCTCATTCTTTGCACACTCTTTTTTTTTTTTAATATTTTATTTATTTATTTATTATGTATACAATATTCTGTCTGTGTGTATGTCTGCAGGCCAGAAGAGGGCACCAGACCTCATTACAGATGGTTGTGAGCCACCATGTGGTTGCCGGGAATTGAACTCAGGACCTTTGGAAGAGCAGGCAATGCTCTTAACCACTGAGCCATCTCTCCAGCCCCCTCTTTGCACACTCTTTTAGTTTTAATTTTAATGCTCAGAGGATATCTGAGAAGGTCCTGAAGACATTTAGAGTTGTCTCATACATGGGGACCAGTTTATCCCCTAGTGATGGGTGGAGTGTCATTAATATAAAAGCAGCCAGTACATTACATGCTTCAGGCCAATGAGAGGTTCTGTCATAAAAACAAACAAACAAACCACAACAACAATGGAACCCAGGGAATAGTATCCAAGGTTGAACCATGTCTTCACCTAATAATTATTTCCCACAATGGGAAAGAGCCCATCCAAGATTCCAGTGAGGTCAAAGTTTAAAGACATTATATCATCAGTCCTATTAGTGAAATCACAACTTTGAAGAGCTATGCCTGTGTATATGCAGGTATGAATATGTATCTACACATACATACGCACACACACACATATATTCGCATTGTATTGAATAAATTCTACATTACAAAAAAATAATTAAAGCTTTCCTTTGGGTATCCTCCAAAACCATTTCTGTGAGTTCCCAGATGTTATGTGTCGCGTTTTGGGAAGTGTCTGCCTCCCTGTCTACCCTGGGTCATAAGATAACTCCCAGGGTAGGTCGTGAGGCCGCTTGTGGAGTGATAATTCTCCTCTCTTTGCTCCACCCTTCCCAGAAGGTAGCTTGTTCTGCTCAGGAATACTGGGGACAAGCAGTCCGTGTCCAGAGCCCAGAAGGCCACTCTTCTCCCTTGCACTTGCCCATCCCGTGCCCTTTGCCTTGGACTTCATCCAATCATCTTTTCAGAACCTCCATGGGAACAATGGAGGGTGCCCATGGCTTTGGAAAGCATGTTGAGGGGGAAGAGCCCCTGCATAGTGGCCACTCTTAAGGTTCTGTGAGTTCCAGGGACCCAAGCCTCAGTGTGGTAGTGCAAAACACATTTTGGAGGAAAGGTTCCATTAGTCTTCAGCAATGCCCCCATCAGTCTCAACTGGTCCACGGCCTTTGGGGTGTTGAGAGGAGCTGCAGGATATTGTCTTTATGACTTTAGACTTTGCATGTTAGAGAGGCATTGTAGCGGGTGGGAAGAGCTGTATCAGCTGGTAAAGTGCTTGCTCCAGAGCCCCATTAGGAAAATAAATCTGGACATCATGGTGCTCTTCTAATCCCAGAACTTGGAAGGCAGAGACTCATTGGCCAGCTAACATATACGACTTGATGAACTCTAGGCCAATGAGAGACTCTTGGGTTGACCACTGGCCTCTGTACACACACACACACAGACACACACACACACATACAGAGAAAGAGAGACAGACAGACAGACAGACACACCATTACAACCCAAACAAAGTACGAATGTTTTTTGTGACTTGCCTCAAAGTCTTATGTGACTTGGTACATCACAGGATATGCAATGGAATTCTGCCCATCTGCCCTCCAGGAAGTAAGTCAGACAAGAAGACTAAGTTAGATTTTCTGTTAAAAAGTAGTATCGTAAATGTGACCCATGTGCCATGGGCAAGATGGCAGGTATGGAGGCCTTGGAAGAGCTCAGCCTTCAGAGACAGCTTTCATATGAATTCTGAGTCCTAACTAGTTTCCCTCTTCCTTCCATAATGCTCTTTCTGCTCCCAGTGGGATTGCCTGCTGTGTCTTAGAGTCCAGGAGCTCAGGTGTGACTGGGTACCACCATGAGGCATGTCCTTATATCACACATGTGCAGTATGGCTTTGCTGACAGTTCAGATTGAACAGGATTCCAGGCCACCAATATACCCACTTGTTTCCTGCGCCCCACTTGGCCTGATAATAATTGTAGGAGTCCTCACCTATGGCCTGGTGTATCCTTCTTCACACAGTTATGTGGAACTGGGGGAGATGTATCAGCTGGTTGCTGAGGGTCCTCTTATGCCCTCTGTCATCAGTGTGATGGAACTTTGTATCTGCTGGCAGCAGTAGGATTCTCTGCTTAGTGGTCAAATTGATATCATGAACGGATGAGGAATGTCCAAGTCCCTGGTGTCAGATCTCTCTGTACCACATGGCTCCTGTAGATGTCTCAAGTAAGCTCCACCTGACAATGATGACTGCTAATCCAGTCTTGGATAGAAGTACCTGGGAACCAGATGACTTAGAAATGAGAAAGTCTAACAGCACAGACACATGAAAGGACCTTAAATTTGGTTAGTGGCCTGGAATTATTACTGTCATTCCTATTACCAGTCACACTATTATGAGATTCAGTTTCCAGATGAGGCACTTAAAGGTCTTAAAAGTCAGATGGCTTAGCCAAGGTCCCACAAAAGGGACATAGCAGTGGATGGGTGTCAAGCTCAGAGTCATATGACATCAGAATCTTTTCTTGCAGCCTCTGTTTTGTTAGGTTAGAGAATAAAATTTCTGGGATCAGTAGACAGATTTGCTAATGCTTAGACAAAGCCAGATGCATCTGTTCTGGAGTTTATAAATCACCGTCTGTGGATGTACTTAGATGGGGGTGGATGGATGAATAGATGATACATAGATGACAGCCACACACACTGATGATAGATAGCAGGCAGACAGATAGTGTCTTACTTACTATTCTATGCTGCAAATAGATACTGTGACTAATGCAACTTATAGAATGGTGGTTCTCAACCTTCCCAGTCCTGTGACCCTTTAATAACAGTTCCTCATGTTGTGGTGACCCCCAGTCATAAAATTATTTCGTTGCTATTTCATGACTGTATTTTTACTACTAGTATGAATCGTAATATAAATATCTGATATGTGGGATATCTGAAATATGATCCCTGTAAAAGGATTGTTCAACCCCAAAGGGGTCACAGCCCACAGGTTGAGAATCAT